TTCAATAAAGACTGTATATTATAATATTTTACAAAACTGGAGGACTGGTGTTTGTAGAATATTGAATAAAATCTTTATGTTGTAGGAAACACCAGTCCTCTAGTGTTGTAAAACAAAAATGTCCAATTATCTAGTTTTGTATCTACAATGCTTTCTAATCTCTGTGATTATTTTTGCTGGGATTACAATAGTTATTTTTTAATTCAAAATTCTACTAATATTAAAGAAACTCTGAGCTCAAGGTTTTTTTTTTCCAAGGTATGGTGCCAATTGGTTGTTTTCATTTCATCATATATGCAGATTCGACAACCTAAACAGAGAGTTTAAGTTTTTATATATTCTGCATAAAGTTATGCTTTTTTCCAGGAATATATCACAAATATCAGTCTATAACATGCTGAATGGTTAACCTTCCCACATATCTTTGTTGTTTTATAAATCTATTCAACAAGTCAGTGCCAGTAAAATGAATACATATATATATATATATTTTAAAACTGAAAAGGCATTTCCAATAGGTACTTACCTCCTCCCACAAAAACCTTTCTGGACTTATACTGCCCTCTATTGGCACAAATGTTTACTCAACTTGATACTCACACTTATCTCTGCATACTAACATCCAAATGATTATGCAGCAACCCTCCACCAATAGGAGCACGACACTCCCTTTATCATAACTAGTGCCCTCTCTAATCTTGCAGCTATTAACCACTTCAAGATTGGTCACAAAACTAAACCACATTGGAGGTGGGGAGGACAGGTGGGAATTGTGAGAGGAGATATCTATTGGAAATACATTTTTAGTTTCAGTAAATGTTAACTTCCGATACGACATCTTACTTCCTCTAAAAAAAGCTGGAATCCTACAATGAACAAGTAGAGAAGATGATCCACCTTGAGGAAGCATCTAAAAGAAAACCATAGGGTGTAAGAAGGAACTAAAAACAACACACCTGGCAGTTGGAAGACTGCTCCATTTCTGAGCCAGGTATACTCTTCACCCACTAGCAATGCATTGCTAAAAGGGTGGAAACAAAGGAGAGACCCCATAAGAAGTGTAGAGTGGCTATGGTCCGATCCCCATTAAGGGAGACACAACAACAAACACTGCAAGTCGAAATAAGAGAAGTTGGAAAGACGATAATCAAAAGCATGATCATCCTTAGTAGGTGGAGGTTAAGGCATCCTGACCCCCAAATGCAAATGCTTCCCAAGATGACTCCCATGAACTCCAATGATCAGGGAAGGAGGAAACACAAAATAATAATCCAAAGGCTTATCCATGAGGAAGGTAAAGGTGGAACCATAGGAAATGAGAGAGAAGAACAGAACATAACATACCAGAATAATCAATTCCACTGAAGGGGAAAGAGGTCTGGGCAAGTTCCCCAAAATGACTTGCGACTGAGAGGCATATTCCGGAAGGGGAAAAAGGCTGTCCAAATCCAAATCTGAAACTTCTCAAGCTTAACGGCCAAGCACAAAAAACATGGAAGTCTCCAAATGACACGCAGAGGTATTCAGGAACTGTTTAGAACCACATTGGTAGATATTATGCAGCAAGCCAACTACAATAAAGTCTTTATTCAGTAGTCTAGGGCTCAGTGGCTTTGTATTAACTGTTGGATGGCTGCGAGTTAGAAGCTGGTCTGCATCATGCTTTTGTGTCCTTGACAAGGCACTTTACTTCACATGTTCCAGTTTACTCAGCAGTCTGACGTGTATCAGCTGCTAGCTGGGGGATCAACCCGTGATGGACTGACATCCCAGAATGGTTGGATGGTTGCAAATTAGAGGCTGGTCTGCATCATGCTGTTGTGTCCTTGACAAGGCACTTTACTTCACATGTTCCAGTTTACTCAGCAGTCTGACGTGTATCAGCTGCTAGCTGGGGGATCAACCTGTGATGGACTGACATCCC